GGAGCACAGTGTCTCTGGACAGTTGAGTAAGAGTAGGGCCCTCAGCAGACAAACAGGCTTGTCTCTACAGGTGGGCCAGCCAGCAGGTCAGTGGAAAGGCTGAAGGTCATGGGGCTTGAGGGGAACTGGGTGAAGAGTTCAACCCCATTCCTAACCAAACTTTCCAGCAAGCACATCTCTACTAGAGAAGCCCCTTTATATTAGGGTGCCCATTAACCCTCTGGGTGCCAGGAAAGGGCAGGAGGTGTGCACTGGGAGGCAGGTGAGGTCATCCTTCTTTGACCCTCCACGTGGTATTTACTCAGAGCAATTGTTGCCAGAGGCCCAGGCCCCCGGAGTATAAAGCGGAATGTCTGGTCCCTGTGCCCAGAACTGAGCAGGTGAGCAGCTGGGCAGAGGGATGTGGGTTGGAGTCCTCAAGCAGAGGATTGCAGGGGTCTCTGCAGAGAGCTGGGGGTGGGAACTAAGAACCAAGGACATTGTCTGGGTGCACTTTGGCAGAGTTGCTTCTTGGGATGCCTCAGTTCTTCCAGCCATGGCAGAACTGGGCATGCTGGGTGAGGAGATGAGGGGAGGTAGGTGGGAGGTAGGCGAGTGAGGAGTGGTGGCAGAAGTGGCCTAGGGAACAGCTCTGGGATTTGGGGAGGGTGGTTTGAGCTCCACATCCATATTATGTGATTGAGCTGGAAATGGAGCTGCTCCCCCCATATCTGAGGAAGACACCCCTTCCTTCCTTATCTCTCATCTAGGTCAGTGCTCTTAATCCCCAACAGCTCTGTGCTCCCTACTTTCCAGGGAGATGAACAGATTCTGGGCAGGTTGGCCCTGGCAGCAGCTCCCTAGGGGAAAGTCCTGTGGGAGGTGTCCCTGTGCTTCTTCACACTAACCAGGCCTCCATTCACCTTCCTTCTCAGACTCGATAATGGCAAGCACGGTTGCAGTTCTGACCTGGGCTCTTGCCCTTCTCGCAGGTGGGTCTCTGACCCTGACTTCAATGTGGAGGTGCGGGTGGAGCTGGACCCAGGAGCTATCCACCCTCAAGGAGAGGTGGGTTGGGAAGCCCACCAGAGTCCCTAATTGTTCCATCCCTCTCCACAGTGCTTTCAACTTCCCAGGCACGGAAAGGCTTCTGGGACTACTTCAGCCAGAGCAGCAGGGACAAAGGCAAGGTGGAGCAGATCCAGCAGCAGAAGTTGGCATGGGAGCCCGCGTGAGTGGCCAGGGCAAGCAGTGTGGGCCAAGGGAGGAGACATCCGGGTCATGCGATGATGCATTGCCTCTGCGTCCTCACCTTCCACAGCCTCACTGGGGTAGAGGCACTGAGAGGCACTAGTCTGGTGGTCCCTGTGTCTTCAAAGCCCTCTACTCATGGTAGTCTTGGCTTTGACCTCATGATTGCTATTGGCTGGCCCCTTGTCCATTGGTGTGGGACCTGGGAACCGAGGAGAGAACCCCAAATGTGTGAGAGCAGCGTGTGAGAGCCCAGGTGCCTCCGTGCTTCCTCCCGTAGTGTTGGCCCAGATTTGCATGTGTCCTGTCTCTGTGCTTTCTGTGTGTGGGCCCCGGCTCTGGGAACACGGCCCTCCAGGCTTGGTTCCCCAGAGGATCAGTGGGCAGTGTCTCTGGGGCACAGGAGAGGATAGGGACTAGCAGTCTGATGACATGGATGTATGTCCCCGCCTCTAGGAGCCTGAAAGACAGCCTTGAGCAAGACCTCAATATGGACAAGTTCCTGGAAAATCTGGGCATGCTGGGTGAGCAGATGAGGGAGCTTCCTGAGCTCCCACAGGACGTGGTGGACATGCGTCAGCAGCTGCAGGACGAGTTGGAGGAGGTGAAGGCACGCCTGGAGCCCTACATGGCGGAGGTGCACGAGCGCGTGGGCTGGAACCTGCAGGGTCTACGGCAGCAGCTGATGCCCTACACCACGGAGTTGATGGAGCAGGTGGCTCTGGGTGTGCAGGAGCTGCAGGAGCAGTTGCGCGTGGTCAGAGAGGGCACCAAGGCCCAGCTGCGGGGGGGAGTGGACGAGGCCCGGGGCCTGCTACAGAGCCTGCAGAATAGTGTTGTGCATCACACCGGCCGCGTCAAGGCGCTCTTCCACCCCTATGCCCAGCGCCTGGTGACCGGCATCGGGCGCCACGTGCAGGAGCTGCATCGCAGAGTGGCGCCACACACCTCTGCCAGTCCTGCGCGCCTCAGCCGCTGCGTGCAGGCGCTGTCTAGCAAGCTCACGCTCAAGGCCAAAGCCCTGCACGTGCGCATCCAGCAGAACTTGGACCAGCTGCGCGACGAACTCAGTGCTTTTGCCCGAGCTGGCTTGGATGCAGAGGAAGGGGCTGGTCCGGACCCCCAGGTGCTCTCCGAGGAGGTGCGCCAGCGGCTCCAGGCCTTCCGCCAGGACACCTTCCAGCAGATCGCTGCCTTCACCCGAGCCATCGACCAGGAGACCCAGGAGATCCAGCAGCAGCTGGCACCACCCCCGCCGAGCCACAGCAACTTTGCCCCAGAGTTCCTTCAAGGCGACGATGGAAAGGCCTGGAGACAGCTGCAGGCCCGTCTGGACGAACTGTGGGAAGATATCAATTATAGCCTTCAAGACCATGGTCAGGGTCATCTGAGGGAGCCCTGAGGGTTCTACTTGCCCAGGCCCACTTCCCAGCTCCTTGTCTGGGGATCCCAGGACCTGAGCCCTTAGCATGGCTCAGTCCTTGACAGTGGCCTGTTGGGCAGAGGGTGGAGGGCCCTGTGCAGGATAAGTGAGGTAACCCAAGAGGCTGTTGTCCCCAGCATATCCAGCCTCTTGCAATTCCCCCATCCAGATGCATTACACTCACCAGGCTTTGCAAACCCGGCTTCCAGTGCTCATTTAGGAATCCTCATGAGTTGCTCTGCTCTGGTGTGGTGGGAGTGGGGAGGGAGAGAGGCATCTTAGGCGCAGGTAATTTTGTGCAAGCCTGTCGCCATGGTGCTGGAAATCTGTGCCACTTCATCCCAGGGCTTGGCTCCCATCACCTGTGCCTGTGTGGTGGTCACTGCTACAGCTGAGTCCACGGAGAGGAGTTCTTGTCTCCCCAGGGCTGACATGACAGCACCCAGGGGAGGAACAGGGAGAAAGGAGTACAATATGATGAGAACATGTAACTCGTGTGTGTGTGTGTGTGTGTGTGTGTGTGTGTGTGTGTTTATCCCCGCTGGCTCTGATGCTGCTGGATACAAAATAGTGGGGGTTTTGACAGGAAGGGGCAGAACCAGAATTTCCTTACATAGCTCTACATCTAAACTAGTGACTGGACACCAAACTTTGAGGGCTTCTTAAGTGCCCTGGGGAGCAAACTCTTTGTCTTCCCCATCTCTCCCCTTCCCACCTGACTTCTAGGGTGAAGTATAGACTTAAATGAAATAGATGTTATGATGGAAGCTTATTTGCCTGGTGTGACTCTCATTTGGACCATGTCTATCCAAACCACACCCAAAATCTGCTCTAATTCCTGGCTGCTCATTCTCATCGACCCTCTCCCAGTCCGGAGATCCCCACCCCTTCTTAGAAGACAGCTGTCTGTCAAGGCCTGGAGATGAGCCTGGGTTACTCTCCCTCTACAAATGCATTATCCCCCTGGGCTGCCTACCACAGGGTGGTATGTATGAAGTACAGGCTGTCACTGGAGCAGCAGTGGCTCTGGGACCTGCACTTCCTCAGGTCACCTGTCTCCTTTGTTCCTGCTATTGCAGACACTGAATGGCCTCTTTTATGATGGACTCTCTTCTTGGGACTCCCAGACACTTAACCTCCCCCATTCCTCATATACACATTTACTTGGGCTCCAGCACGCCTCATGACCCCAGGGAACTCTGAAGTTGGAGGTGGGTGAATGGGGGGGGGATAAAAGGTGAACACACCCCTTTCCCTGTTGAAATGGTCCATCCAGCACCCTTTCCTCAGGCTGTGCCCTGCTCAGGGTTTCCACCCCCACCCCCACTTCCTTATAGCACAGACCCCACAGGAATCTGGGCTGATCATGGCCCCAGGATGGACCTCTTCGAGGATACCTTGGATTTAGCAATAACTGGGAGAGATGCCCAGGGAGAGCAGGAGCTGGAAAGGAAGGTTTAACAAAAAGAAGTGTTTTGGTTGTTGGGAGGCTGGGAGGGGTGAGTCAGCTGGGGTCATGTGGTGGAAGTAAAAATGTGGGCTGTGTGTTTGAGGCAGGTCTTTGGGCAACTGTTTATAAGGACCAAAATTGGGAGTGAGGGGGCCTGCCTGGTGGCGCAAGGGGTTAAGATGCAACCAATGAAGCTGTCTGCAGCCTCTGCAGCACAGGTTCAATTCCCCTGGCCAACCAGGGAGTAACCCACACGGTGCAGCAGACCTCTCCTGTCTCACCTGCTGTTCCCCTCAGCAGTGTACTTCGGTCAATCTGCCTGTTCTGTTCCCCACTCTGCCTCTGGTGAATCTTCTCACCCCCCCAAACCTCTGGCCTGCCCCCCCCCCAGCTCTTGTATGCATAAATAAATAAATCTTTTAAAAAAAGAAAAAAAATAGGGAGTGAGAAGAGAAAAGAAGTGACTGAAGAACTGAGGGGGCGCATAGCAAAGGGAAAGCAGAATCTGCCCAACAGTGGACAGAAGCAAGCCCGGGCTGCAGTGCACCTGCTGTGCACCTGCTGTGCACCTGCTGTGCAGAGGGACTGTCAAGTCCCTTGCTGTCAGGGCGCTTGTTAGAGGAATTTTTGGACCACGAGTTAGGACTCTGAGCGATGGAGCTATTGCGAAGGAGCAAAAATTGTCCAGCGTCTGAGAGGACGTCCTGGGGTAAAGGACGCCTGTGGATCGAGGTGGAAGTAAAGCCTGAATCCGGCACGCTATGGACCATGCCATCTTCGCCATCAGCCTCTGTTCCCAGAGGGCCCAGAACGTGAGGCCCCTTTAAGAAAGGGCGGGCCGAAGCTGGCGGAAGTGGCGTAAAGAGGTGGCGCCAGAGACGTGCGGAAGCCGGAAGCCGCGATCTGAGCGGCGCGTGATGGCCCTGTCGGCCGGCGGGACGGTGGAGCCGGGGCCCCCAGGGGCAGCCGCTGCCGGGGCTCGTGCCCCGGCCCGGGCTCCCGCCCCGGGACCCTTGTTCCGGCTCATAAGCGCCGAGGACGAGGAGCAGCAGCCCACCGAGATCGAGTCTCTGTGCATGAACTGCTACCGCAACGTGAGGCGGGGAGCGGCCGCGGGCGGAGGGAGATTTAGGTTTTCGCCGGGAAGGGAACGGGGTGGGCGGCCCGGGCAGCTGGGGGTCTGCGGGCGAGGCGCGCCGGGGATCTGTAGGGCGGGGAACTGCAGTTTCCATGACTTCTCTTTCGCTGGTTTCTGCTTCCCCAGGGCATGACGCGCCTCCTGCTCACCAAGATCCCATTCTTCAGAGAAATAATCGTGAGCTCCTTTTCCTGCGAGCACTGTGGCTGGAGCAACACTGAGATCCAGTCGGCAGGAAGGATCCAGGACCAGGGAGTGCGCTACTCTTTGACCGTCAAGACCCAGGAGGTGAGAGAGACCCAGAACAGGTACCTTAGTTTCCTAGGGAAACCTTGGAAATTGGAGTCAGTCTGGTGTAGTTGGTGGGACCTGGAATAAATCCCTCTATGGCCAAGCCTAAGTTTTCTCTCCTGTGATATGATGTTGGTGTGGTCATCTGCTCAGTTGAGAAAAGACTTGTGAGAGTGTTGTGCACATTTTGGCAGAGGTTATCACATGAGCAGTAGTTGTAATGAAGGGTATTCTTTCCATTTGGGCAGCGTGGCTCACACCACCTGTACTGTTATGTGGGAACACCTTCGCTTGCTTGGAGTGGGGAGAGGAAGAAACACCTGGGCTGGGGTCTGATGGAGGGGGCAGTCTGGTTATTTCCTGAAGAGAAACTGGACTGAATGTTTTATTTCTGCTCAGGACATGAACAGAGAAGTAGTGAAGACTGACTCTGCTACCACAAGGATTCCAGAGCTGGATTTTGAAATTCCTGCGTTCAGCCAGAAGGGAGGTAAATTTAAAGATTCCAACCTAATTGGAGTCTCACCCACTTTCTTGGAAAATCCTTGGTGCCGAGTCTAGTGGCTTGTGGCGGCTTTGGCTGAGTATCCATTGTGATTGATCTTCCTTGGTTTGACATGAGTGGAAAGCATAGATGGAACAGCTTGGCATGGTAGATAATGATAAACTACCAATAAGACTATGTGCTTATTACAGAATGTTAGCGTCACTGTTATTGGCGATGGATGGAACCTTGGTCCTGGCTGCTTCATTTTACAGACGAGGAAGTCAAGTCCGAGGATCATACAGGCTCTTGTTAGCAGAGCCCTGACTCATCTGTCTGTTGTTCTTGCTCACCAGCTCTGACCACTATTGAAGGATTGATCAGCCGTGCTATCTCTGGCCTGGAGCAGGATCAACCTACTCGAAGGGTGAGTTGGGGTTTTCTGATTGCAGCGTCTTGGAATAATTGCTTTTACATGTCTGACTACAGTGTTTAGCTTCTTATGTAGCTGAACCCTCTCTGACCTAAAACTTTTTGGGAAGCATATGATGATGACCAGGCTGCCAGGATGTTGTCCCTATTTTGTCCTGTTCTTTTCTCCTGCAAAATATATTGAAGCCTCATCTCAGACTGTATAATGTTAACTCTGAAGAGCCTTTTCTAATCCCCTTGGTGTATCACCTTGGGTTTACTTATCTGTCCTGAGTGGTGCATTATATCTTATTATAACAGAAATAATATAATTGCATATAGAGCCATCTTCCTTCCTAATTCGCTGGGAAACCTCATGAGGGGAATGTGATTTATTGACCATCCATCTCTAAGCTGGCTTGAGTGCCTGGGCTGAATGAATGAATGAATGAAAAAAAATGAGGCTCACCTGGCACCACCTATACACTTCAAAAGTATTTGCTACATTCTATTGTGAAATCCAAATCTGTTTCCACTCACATTAAGAGGTGATTACTTCATGATGGCAGTGATGTGGGGTAATAGGGATTGGGGGCATAAGGCCTGTCACCAGGACTGATCCTGTAATTCTTCATTTATGGCAGGCAAAAGAAGAAGTCGTAGCTGAAAGGATTGATGCGTTCATCGTCAAATTGAAAGAGCTAAAGCACGTGACCTCTCCTTTCACTTTGGTGAGTATGAAAGGACTGAAGATGCCCTAGATTTAGGGGAGGAGGGACTTTTAAGACTGTCTTTGATTTTCCACTGTGCCCGAGTGGCCTGATGGTAGGTGGAGGATCATGACTTCTTACAGTTACTCTTTTTTTGTCCATCCGTTAGATCATCGATGATCCCTCAGGGAACAGCTTTGTGGAAAACCCACATGCTCCCCGGAAAGACGATGCCCTGGTAATCACACACTATAACAGGACCCTACAGCAAGAACAGATGCTGGGGCTCCAGGTGAGTGGACTGGGAAGCCATAAGAATGCTCTGGAATGATCTTGTACTCTGGATTACTTGGCGTCAGCGGAAACATTTTGCTGCTGCTGCTGCCTGTGTACTCTTTCCAAGGGACCCTTATGAGGGGAACCTCATGTTTGTTTCTGTCATCTGGCTCGTGTCAAAGACTAGGGTAAACGTCACAATAAAGGATAGTAGTGGCCGGATAAACTTCACAGTGAATTGTTCTTCCCTTCACTGGGGCTTGGCTTCTCCTCCTGTCGGACCCCACGGGTGGCAGCTGACATAAGCAAGCCAGAGTACTTTCTTCTGCTCCAGGGCAGGAGATGGGCTTGGAGCTGAGGTATCGATATAAACGTGTGATTTGCGTCTCTCCTATTTAGGCAGAGGTGCCTGAAGAGAAGCCGGAAGAGGAAGATCTCAGAAATGAAGTGAGTCACCTTGACACTGTGGAGGAAAGAGATGAGATGTGGGCTGAGACCACTGCCGTTCAGGGTCTCTCTTCCTCCCCACCAACCTGGCGACCACAGGCGCACCAACTCAGTGTCTTTAGCCTGAGAATGCTGCCTGGGAGGGCTCACCCTGTGTCCCCCTGTTGTGTTCCAGGTGCTGCAGTTCAACACAAACTGCCCAGAATGCAATGCCCCGGCTCAGACCAACATGAAGCTAGTTCGTATCTTTTGTCAGGTGGTGGATTGCTCTTCATCTGGCTCAGGCGGAAAGACTATGTTCCGGCACATGCAGGAGGGCGTGTGTTTTATTACGAGTGATGAACATTTGCCTTTGATGAGACTGACCCTGGCTTTGGGGTTCAAAAAGAGAATTACGTCATAGTTTCGAGACTCCTGTGTGTGGCCTGAACCAGGTCTTCAAACATTTGTGACAGGATCACCATGAGGGACGACCTTGCTTGATTTTGGAGGGCCGGCTGAGTCAGGCTGCCTCTTGTGAGCCATTTCCGGCAGTCATAGGACCAGCAGCTGTGTATTTGGGGTTTGGTTTTCCCCAGAGGGTGGTATTGCTATCTTGGAAGCAAATTTCCTTAACTCCATCTTCTAGAAATCCCCCACTTTAAGGAGGTTATCATCATGGCTACTAACTGTGAGAAGTGCGGCCATCGAACCAATGAGGTGGGTGGGTACATTATTTGGAAAGTAGCCTAGCTTGAGCATAACTCCTGTCTTTTCATCCTGCTGCTCTCTGCTTTGAGATGTGTATGTTGTGGGGGTGAGTTGAATTTTTCTCTTGGGTTTAGTGTATGATGAGGAGGCTTTGAAGGAACTAGGAATTAGCCTAGAGAAGGAGTTAGAGGTAGTGTAAACTTTTCATGATGTGTTAAAGATTGGTTATATGAAAGAAAGGAGATTCTTGACCTGCTCTTCAGAGGGGTGGAAATTCAGGAAGGTATATTTTGCCTCAAAGAGCTTACTAGAGCTATTTCAAAATAGAATAGGCTGCCATGGAGGATTGTAAATACCCTCCATTTAAGCTGGTTAAATTATTAAAATCAATGTTATAAAGGGGACTCACATGTTGGAATGCAGTGAATGAAAGAGGCGAAACCTTTAGAAGTCCATTTAAACCACAAGAGTGGCATTTTTTTTAAAAGGTAAATTTAGAGTTTCTAGGTAACTTGGACTGTTTTGTCAGGCTCCTGGAGCTGGGCCTCTGCTGCCAGCTAGCTCCTGTTGATTTTGATTTGGTAACTGCTGACATTGTTGTGTAGAAGACTGTCCTTCAAAGCTTTCAGTGGGCCTGACTGACTGAATGGCCATACCTACCCTCTGAGGCCTCTCTGGTAGCCAGTGAAGATCATGGCTTCTCTGCTACTGTCCTGACTGCTGTTGTCTGCGCAGGTGAAATCAGGAGGAGCAATAGAGCCCCTGGGCATCAGGATCACCTTCCATATCACAGATGCCTCAGATATGACCAGAGACCTCCTCAAGGTAACATCTTGTTGGAAATGTGACTGTCCTTACATAGTGGTCTCTGTCTCTGGGAAATTGTCCTTTAAAATTATGTCCTGGGGTCATATGGTATTTCCTTACTTCCCTGGGTTTGAGCGTCCCAGAAATCCATTATAGGACAAGCAGATTCAGGAGGCTTATTACCCATAAGCGCTTTCTGGCAACTTGACAGCTTTGCCTACCAGTGTCTGTAAGGGCCTTGGTCTCTAATGCACTCTAATGACAGCTTGGAACCATGACTCCAAGGTTTATAGGTTGGTTCCATTCCTCTCATTCACATGGATAGGAGAGAAGATGGGAATAGCTGGCTCTGTCTGCAAACTTTCTGGTGGCATTAATTTGGCAGGAGGACTGTGGGTAGCTTTCTCTGGTGGCTCAGAATTTAAAAGCTAATTTGACCTCTTTCCTCACAGTCTGAGACATGTAGTGTGGAAATCCCAGAGCTGGAATTTGAACTGGGAATGGCTGTCCTGGGGGGCAAGTTCACCACACTGGAGGGGCTGTTGAAAGACATCCGGGAACTGGTGAGTCAGCTGAGTGCAGTGTCTGCTTGGGCAGTGTGGCTGTGGCAAGGGGCTGGAAGCCCTCAGACATCCTTGGTTTTAGGGTTGATAACTGGGGGTCCTTTGCCTTAAAATTGATATTAAAAACTTAAATGTTATTTTCCATTGTGAAGGGTAAGTTAGTAAGAATCTGAATGGAAGTCCTTGGGCCTAAGTCTGGACAATGTAGATGTTTTGTGGTTTGGCTGATGTCATTAATTTCACTAAAATAAAGGAGTGAGGATCCTCCATCACTTAGACATATACAAGGTTGGTGACTGAGACCATATATCTATCCTCTTAACGCATTATTTCTCTTATTGATCCTCAGTTGTCAGGCATTTTGTCCTTTTAAGTTATACTTAGCATTTCTTCACATTAGAACTAGTGCTCACTGTAAGAACATTTTTATTTCTCACTACTGGTTTTCTTGATTAACCCACACACTCCTAGCAGAGGCTCCTAGGTCAGAAAGGTGGTATGGGATAAATGGAGACCAAGGCTGGGCACCTCTCTGCCTCCCCCTTACCCCCACCAGGTTAATGGTCAAACCTGACATAGAGTCAGTATTCGAGCAATTTGGATGTTATTTATTACAGGTGACCAAGAACCCTTTCACCCTGGGAGACAGTTCCAGTCCGGGGCAGACGGAGAAACTGCAGGAGTTTAGCCAGAAGCTGGACCAGGTGGGAGGACACTGGTCGGTCAGTACTTAAGATTGTGGGGCTCCAGTGGACTAGAGGCTGCACACCCATTTCTCGATGCCTTTTAAACAGCAAACCATCTATACCCCTCATGGCAATCTAAGCAAAAATCTAGAATTGAGGTACATTAAAGAAGAAATGAAAAAACGTAGAAAACCACCAGGTAAAGATAGCCACATGAACAAGCAGTAAGAAACAAATGGGAAAAAGAAACAGAAAGATAAAGCAATCAAAGAGAGAGAGACAGAGAGAGAGAAAACAAGTCTTATATATCCATAATCACACTATAAGAAACATAGAGTAATTCAGGCTCTTGTTTTGCCTTTAGGACATCCAGCAGACAATAGACATCCAGTAACCTTGAAAGTGCCAGGCATGCATTATAATGTATCAGTTGTGTTTTCCACCTTCCTAGGGCCTTCCTGACATCCAGCAAACAACATAAGACCCATAACTTTGAAAGCACCTAGGATGTGCAAGAATGTATCAGTTATGTGACCATGAGTATATAACAGTGTAAAGGTGGCCAGAAGGCTTGGTTGTTGCCTGCCAGGCTTGCCTCCCTCCCTCCCTGCAAGCTGCTCTGCCTGGGTATCAGGTTCCCTGTTTCAGCATTAAATCATGTCAGATATTAAAAAAAAATTAAACATCAAACCATCACATTGGGGTTTCTTCTGGTTTCCGATACCCTGTATCATTTTCTTGCTTGGTTTTCTCCTTTTTATTATTGTAATATCATCTGTAGTAGTTCTTGAGAAAGTACTTGAGAGGTAAAATTTCTGGAACCTTAACAAGTGGTCTGGTCAGTGACCCATCAGGGGTTATTGTGTTTCCCTGCTAGAGGTTAAGGCTTGCCTGCAGTGTTGTGAGAGCTTGGTGTGGGGAGAAGAAGGGGTAGGTGTGGGGTGGGGGGGTGTTTGAGATCTGTTTCCGGTAGTCATACATTCACTGGACCTGTTCCTCATTCCTTTCCTTTTCCCCTCAGCTGGCCCAGTGCCCACACCCTGTCTACACTGTAGTGACTTCACAGAAACTGCTTCTTTGCTGACATGTGAGGAGGGTGGTTGTTGACATGTTTAGACTGGAAGATGAGATCAGGGATATCTAATGGCGTCTCATTGTACCTCATTTCACAGTTGTTAAACTTCTGGGGATTCTGTGATATTAACTGGGCTGGTTTGGCAGATTTAAGCCTCTTCCTGTCAGGAGCTATGTAGAGTTTAGCTGCTATATTTTTTTCTTTTCAGATCCTTGCAGGGAACATGAAGGCCCATTTTATTATGGATGATCCAGCAGGAAATAGCTACTTACAGGTACAGTAGACCATCCTGGAGCAGACATATCATGGAGATCTAATTTCTTGAATCCTTTTCTTGAATAGTGATCATTTCTGGAGAACTTAAAGGAGGAAGTAGAAGATGATGGGAGAGGGTCTCCCCGGTGGCACAGCGGTTGAGCGCTGGGTTGCGAAGCTGCCCACAGCCTCTGCAGCACCGGTTCGATCCCCGGCTGCTCCCCTGCCACATGGCGCACAGACCTCTCCTGCCGCCCACTGCTCCCCTCAGCAGTGTACTTCGGTCCTTCTGCCTGCTCTGCTCCCTGTTCTGGCTCTGGTGAATTCTCTCACCCTCCTGCGCTTCTGACTATAGCAGTGCTTGTATAAATAAATAAATAAATAAATCTTTAAAAAGAAAAAATAAAAAGATGATGGGAGAGATTGTAAGTGTGTCAAAGGCGGAAAAAAGGATATTCCCGGCTCCTGTTCCCTGTAGTCTAATTATTGTCACCAGCCCTAAGTCCAGTAGTGGAGTTTTCCTTCTGCAAATTGTAGAAGTGAGGAGAAATACTGTTTTTAGAGGCCAAGATAGGACATTCAAGAGGCTTTAAGCAGACGCAGGAGATATTCTTGTGACTGTCAGTCTCATCATTTACTGAGCAGTTTTTATGGGTCAGGCAAAGCTGTTGTAAGCTCTCTCCACAGTTAAAACCATTGTTATTGTCTTCATAAGAAGGTACAGATTAAAAGTATTTTTTTTTAAAGATTTATTTATTTATGTATACAAGAACTGGGGTACAGACCAGAAGTGTGGGGGTGAGAGGATTCACTGGAGACAGTGGGGAACAGAACAGGAGGAATATTTGAAATACACTGCTGAGGGGAGCAGCAGGCGAGGCAGGAGAGGTCTGCTGTGTCATGTGGGTTGCTTCCTGGCTGGGGATTGAACTCGTGCAGATAGCTTCATAGGTTATGTCTTAATCCCTTGTGCTACCAGGGAGGCCCTAAAAATAGTTCTTTAGGCAGATGGCTTCCTAATTCTGCTTGGGACTGGACTGTTCCATTCCCGGCCCATGTGGGCTCTGTTACTGACCACTAGTTCAACCTGGCCATGGGGAACTGGAGGCCCTTAGAGAATAAAAACATTAAAATCTTGGGAAAGCGGGAGGTGGAGGTGTCTGTGGGTGGGAGGATGGCACGAGCACTGATTATCTGTCCTTGCAGAACATCTATGCACCTGAAGATGATCCCGAGATGAAGATGGAGCATTATGAGCGCACGTTTGACCAGAATGAGGACCTCGGGCTCAATGACATGAAGACGGAGGGCTATGAGACAGGCCTAGCCCCACAGCGGTAGCGGCGCGAGGTTTCCGGGCCAGCCTCCAGCACCGCTCAGACGCCAGGATTATCTGTTACTACTGAAAAAGGCTGGGCAAGTCCTCCCTACTAGGTATTGCCCGTGTGGGGAAGTTGCCTGGTCTGAGTCTGAGATTTGGGGACATGATGCAAGTGCAGTGCTGTCATGTTACTTGACCTTATTTTGGAGGTTTGGATCAGCCTGGGGAGAAACCCAGAAATGAACCATGGGGCATGTCATTATCACTTTTTGGCTATCAAGTCTTTCCCTTTCCTCCCGATAACACACTCTTCTCAAGGGTTGGAACTCTGTGACGTTCAAGGTATACCTGGAGTTTGGGAGCTGATTTTGGGTATACAACATCTGTCAACAGCAAAACTCTTCTGAGCAGAGGGGGTTCAGTATAGGTGAAGATGTTCTCATTAAAATGACTCCTCCCAGCGCTTGCCTCTGGATTCACTCTGTCCTTGTTATCACATGCTGCTAATACAGTCTCCTAAAGAAGATTTTTCTTTTTTTTAAAAAAATATTTATTTATTTATTTATACAAGCACTGGGTACAGTAAGAAGCGCAGGAGGGTGAGAGAATTCACCACAGCCAGAGCGGGGAACAGAACAGGCAGACTTGATGAAGTACACTGCTGGAACAGCAGGTGGCAGGAGAGGTCTGTGCGCCACGTGGGACCCTCCTCCGGTGGCCGGGGAGCAGCCGGGGATCGAACCGGCGCTGCAGAGGCTGCGGGCAGCTTCGCAACCCAGTGCTCAACCGCTGCGCCACCGGGAGGCCCAAGATTTTTCTAATGTGGCCACCACTGTAATTTGGGGATTGGAGCTGGCATTTCATTCATTCTGTCCGTGGATGTCTGGCTGCTTGCTTTGTGCCAGGCACACTACAGAAGAGTGAACAAAATAAAGCTTTGCTTTTGTGGAGCTTAAAGTATAGCAGGGAATATGGGCAAACAGAGTGGGTGGGGTTTGACAATAAACCAACAAGTAAAACAGTATGTCAGATGGTGGTTAGTTTTCTGGGGGAATGTGAAGCAGGAAAGGGTATGGATAGTGTCAGGAAAGGCGGGGGCAGGTGTTTCAAACAGAGTCGTCAGGAAAGAACAAGGTGATAATTTGACATGTAGGCAAGCTGAGGAGGAGGTAAGGGGGGGAGCCTTATGGAGAGCTGGGGGAGGAGACTGCCAGTCAGTGTGGGTATTTGCGATCCCCTAAGTCTCTCAATTACAGATGGGGAAACTGAGGGTCAACTGGAGAGGGAGGGAGCTACTTCTCATTGGCAAGAAGTTAAAGACTCTGGACTCCTTACTGGTAGTCATTTGCACTACAGTAACCAGTGATGACTCCAGTGGTGCTGGCCGCTGGTGCTGGCCGCTGGGCATTTAGTAAAGACCTGTTACTGGCTGAGATGCTAGGCAGAACTTAATGCCTTGTGCTGAAAACTTTGAATAGTTGCCTAATTACAGATTACTTAGCCATCACACCCGTTGCTCTGTTAAACTATTCCCAAAGGTCACAAGTGGAATTTTCCACTTGGGGAATGTTCTCTCTTCTGTCAAATTTGACAGTGGACTGTCCCCTCAGCCCTTGTCTTTGCTGCTGTGACAATGGACCCCTGCTTTTCCCTTTACTTTAATCATTTCTTGTTAGGAACCTGCCTCCTAACTCCTCCTTAAATGTATTTGTTTTTACAAGTTTTGCTTTGAGACACTCATTTGACATCTTACTATTTTCATGTAGGACTGACTTCCATACCTGTGTCAAATTTCTGTGAGGGCAGGAGTATGGTGTTAGTTTGGAGACTAGGGAGATACAAACTGTAAACAGCATTTGCATAGACTTCTCATAGCAACAGATACATGCCATCTGATTAGAAACTGTTTACTAGCCACCTATCTACATCCGGTCTCTTGGAGCACCTTCCCTGTGGGAAGGCTCTGGCTTACTGAGTCTTGTGGGTTTGGTTGTCATGAGACAATAATTCTAGACTCTAACCTAGTTATTAGGAAATGATAATCCTACTTTCTGAGCCAGCAGACTGAGGACAAGGTAGTGCCACACTGGGAAAAACCAGCACTATAGGCAACTTAAACGTCATTTCATATAGCCTGGCAGGGGTGGCGCTTACATAAACTGAGTCTCCACAGCCTGTAGCATATGACATAATTAATGAAGATCCTCACATGCTCACAGCTCATCCAGGTTTGAGTCTTAGGGAAATGGAGGTAGCATGAAGGCAACAGGTGTGGAAGTGTCAAGAAGTTCAAAAGAGGTAAGGCAGGCAAATTGCCAGCTCAAGAACATGTAAATTCAGTTTCACAGCCCTGAGGATAAAGTTTATGAGGAAATTTTTGTGGTTATATGAAAAGGGGAAAGGAGAGTTCTTTTGTGAGAGCACTTACTCATTTTAAGCATATTCAATACAGCTTGAACACAGAGGTAGTTAAAAATGTACGTCTGTTGAGGTACATGATGGGATGTATGAAGGGCATTCAACTGCTCACAAAGCATGAATCATGGGTTCCAAAAAACTAACATTGTCATTATGTCCTTTTTATACCTGAGCTATGTCAGTACCTATTGCACATGGCAGGAAATGGAGTCTGCTAAAATGAGGGCAGAGGTGTTTAAGGCTTGTTGGCTTTATTATTTTAAAAAGTTTATGGGCTTCTACTCTTGATAGGACAATGGCAGTATTTTTAACTGAAAGGGTGCTTACTCTGTGTGCTCACCTCAGAGTTTAGAAAGCTCTTTAGTATTGGCATCTCACATGCTTCAGTCTCCTCATCTGCAAAGGGGATGATAATGGTATCTACTTCAAAGAGTTTTTGTCAGGATTAGTGAGTTGTTAATTGTGAAGTGCTTTTATTTGTATTTTCTCTTATAATCTTCACAGAAATTTTAAAGTATCTCTATTTTAAACCCCTTTTAGGAAAAAGTAGCTATAAATAAAAATATCCTTATCTTAATGGTGAGGAAACAGCCTCAAAGAGGCTAGGGAACTTCTAGAAGGAAGGTAAGCTTCTAAGAGGCAAGCTTCAGACCCAGACCAGGTTGAAACCTGAGCTCTGAAAATTTTTAGTACAATGACTGCATTTGCTTATTAGATGGAATTACAGAGAGAGGGCCAAACTCAGACCATGCCACTAGACATGAATTCATTTGATCCTGCTTAGCTGCCTGGTTAGGTAGACAGACAGGCTTGGGACAAGAGCTTGGGTCTGGTCAAGCTACCGTTGGCTATGGAGTAGAACAGGTAGAACTGAAGACAAATGGACAGGAGATGAGTCCTTGGGGCTGAGATGGCTATGCTGGTAATATTTACTGGAGCAGAAATGTCTGCTGGCAGCAGGGTAGAGACTGGGCTTGAGATACACCAGAATGGACCAGAAAGCCAAAGTAGGATTGTATATGGAGTACCTGTGGTGCCCTCATGAAGGCCCCACAGCTAGTGAGGCCCTTTTGTTCATACTTGAGGGCAGGGATCTCCAAACCATTCTGGTGCGTGTAAGTATTTTCTTAGCTTGTATCCCAAGATATGCACATTACAAACTACACCTACCTTCATGGCTAACATACTTTACAATAGTGACAAAACTTCAATTTACATGTGATGATGTGATTTAAAGATCTATGTTCTACTTAAAAATATCTGGATTATCGGGCCTCCCCGGTGGCGCAGCGGTTGAGCGCTGGGTTGCGAAGCTGCCCGCGGCCTCTGCGGCGCGGGTTCGATCCCCGGCTGCTCCCCGGCCACCGGAGGAGGGTCCCACATGGCGCGCAGACCTCTCCTGCCGCCCGTTGCTCCCCTCAGCAGTGTACTTCGGTCCTTCTGCCTGCTCTGCTCTCCGCTCTGGCTCTGGTGAATTCTCTCACCCTCCCGCGCTTCTGACTGTAAACAAACAAATAAAGAAAGAAAGAAAGAAAACATGCCTCTATATAAAAAAAAAAAAAAATAAATAAAAATCTGGATTATCTCTTGCACCCATTTTGTTTGCCTCTGTTCCTGAGAGTTGCCTTTTGGCTGTGAAGCTGAGTAACTTCTTTAATCTCCAAGCTTCAGTCATTTCGCCTCTGTAAAAGGATAATTGTGAAGGTTAAATGGGATAATTCATACAAAAATCTTAATGCCCACAAGAAGAAAAGTTTTCTTCCCCAGAACTTGAGTACCAGAATTTAGTGTCTCTGGTTTCCCTTTTGCTGTGCTGAAAATATTCAGGACTTTAGGGGCTACCCATAATAGACTATCAAACATGACAAAGTTAGGCAGGTTAGAGACCGCCACATTTTCATAGTAATTATGCTGGGTTTAGAATTTCGCTGTCTCTCCTGATGGGCACTTGGAAACCTACCAGCACAGAAGTGCCCCCCTCCACCTAAACATAATAATAAAAATACGCTACGAGCCAGATGCTGTTCTAAGCACTTTTCACAGTGACATCTCAGTTCTCACAACCATCGAGTTAGGTGCCATTATTATTATTATTTTTTAAATATTTATTTATTTATACAAGCACTGGGTACAATCAAAAGCGCGGGAGGATGAGAGAATTCACCAGAGCCAGAGCGGGGAGCAGAGCAGGCAGAAGGACCGAAGTGCACTGCTGAGGGGAGCAGCAGGCAGCAGGAGAGGTCAGCATGCCATGCGGGACCCTACTCCAGTGGCCAGGGAGCAGCCGGGGATTGAACCGGTGCCGCGTAGGCTTCGGGCAGCTTCGCAACCCAGCGCTCAACCGCTGCGCCACCAGGGAAGCCCTAGGTGCTATTATTATGCAGATTCTGTTAAATAACTTGCCCAGGATTGTACAGCCAGGAGATCATGGAACCAGAACGCGAACTTCAGAGCCCGCGTTCTAACCACCACACCGGGGCGCTTCTGACGCTGCTGGGGACAGGGCTCTTGTCTGGATCATGGTGTAGGCCTCACAGCAGAGACACAGGGCAAGCGAGGAATTAGGCAGTTTTAGGGACACTGCAGGAGAGGACCTCGGAGAATTGAAGGCTTCAGAGATAAGGGCAGCAAGAGGAGTGTAACTAATTCCACCTGGAAAAACAAACATCCCAGGACCAAGGACAACATTGTTAACACTGGCCTTGGTTTCCTTCAGGTGGTAAAGGGAGGCAGAGATTAGAGAAATAGAAGAGTGGTTTAATTTATGGACAACTTAAAAGGGCAGCTGTTTAACGTCAATGCAGAGATACTCATCCGAGGACTGGGCCATAAAGATAAAAATGCAACAAATGGAGAAAGACAAACCTGTTAGACAAGGAATGTGAAGACCCCCCACTCAGTAGCAGATTAAGTGAGACAGCCGAGAACTAACCAATCACAGAGACTGGTGGAGCTTTAGAATAATGAGGGAAAGAAGGTCTATATTCCCTGAGACACGACTCCACTTTGGCTTCCTTGCCCCTCCCTGGCCTGGTTTCCCGTCCTGGGAGTCCCACTTTATTTCTGTTCCTTTTCTCCTCAATAAACTTTTTCTTTCTCTAAACAAACCTGCCTCTTCTCGCTTGCTCGCCTGAGCGTCTGCGAAGTTCCTGCTGCGGCTTCGTGAGACACCAACCCGTGGGGGTCTAGTGGCTGGGGCTCAGCGCTGCCCTGCAGCCTGGGATCCGTCCCTGGCTGGGAGACCAGGCCTGACAATTCCGGCATCACGGCCATAACGGCGCCGGCAGAGTCCTCAGAACGCCCCGACGGCGGGCAGGTACACCGGACCTGGCCCAGCCGCCCGCGGACCCCGGCCACGCACGCGCCTCGCCGGCGCAGGTCACCTGTGGGCTGGGCGGGCCCAGCCGGCCGCGCCACTTCCGGTCTCGGCCCCGCCCACTCGGGTCGACTCCGCCCTTTTGCGCCGAGGAATTTTGTCCCCAGCGCCGCGCCGTCTCCCCGCCCGCGCCGCTGCCATGGCGGCAGCTCCGCCGCTCTCCAAGGCCGAGTATCTGAAGCGTTACTTGTCCCGGGCGGATGCCGGCGTCGACGGGGGCCCTGAGGCCAGTCGCAAGCGTCGCAAAAAGCGGCCGAAGCCAGGCGGGCCGGTGGAAAGGGTAAGTTGGTCGTGACGGGGGGGGCCTGCTTCGCCCCGCGGCCCCGCCGCTGGCCCGCCCCGCCCCGGGGCCCCGGCCCGGGCTCTCCCCTCGCCCCCCACTTCTCTGCTCGCGGGGACCCTGCCCGAGCGCCCGGTGGGCTCGGCCGCCGCGAGCGTCCCTGGGCATTGCCTTGAACGTGTTCAAGCGCGCCGGTAACTTTCGTTACTCTTTCCCGCCTTCGTAGCCTTCAGTTCTTTCCCATGGAGAATGAATGTTTTGTCCTAGAATAATCGTGGAGCTAATTCAGAGCCTCTGTGCTTGGGTATTTGAGGCCCAGAATCTCTTTGTGGCCGTTCTTCAATCCCAAGGACTCTGGTTCTCAGTGGGCAGAGCCCCGTGCTCACTTCCTGTTGCTCCCAGTACTCCTAGCAGCTGACACGTTTAACAAGTTGTCATGTGTCAGGCACTGCACGAAGTACTTCAGACAGGAATTTATTTACGCTGCACAGCACTGCCATGAAGAAGGCATTGCTGTTATCCCCGTTTTTGCAGGGGAGACAACTTTTGTGAACTGGTGTATTGCATTGAATAGTTTTCTCCCCACGTCCATCCCAGTCAGGTTCACCCAGAACCTTTGGATGTGACATTTGGAAACAGGGTCTCTGCAGACATAAATTGTTAAGATGAAGTCATACTGAGTTAGGATGGACTGGTATCCTTTTAAGAAGAGGGCAGTTTGGACACAGGTACAGAGGTAAAACAATTCTGTGAAGATAGAGGCTAAGATTGCTGGATTTATGCTACCATTAGTCAAGGTACACTTGAGGCTACCAGAAGTTGGAAGAGTTAAGGAAAGATCCTAGAGGCTTCCAGTGAGCATGCCTTGCGGGCATTGACTCATCCTTTGAGAGAACACATTTCTGTTATTTAAACCATCCAATTTGTGGTGCTTAGTAGTTAGTGCTAGGAAGCTAATATACCAGCAAGATCAAATAGTTCCAAAGAGCTAACCCATTTCTTTTCTTAGGTTGGTTCTTGCCTTCTTGCTTGCTGTCTTCCTGCCCCCTCTGACTTGTGTGGCAGTGCCATGTAATGAGAATAGCTTGAGTTTTCAGGCAACACCGATGCGAGCTTGAGTCCAAGCTTTGCTACTTTATGCACGGTGTGACCCTGGGCAAGATAATTCATCTCTCTGAATCTCAGTTTGTGCATCTTTAAAATGAGAGTCATATCACTTATATTAAACGGTTGTTGTGATTAGAGATATGTGAAGTGACCTGAGCTTTTAAATAGTAACTGTCCCACCATGCTAATGGTTATTGTTTGGACTCATCCATAGTTTATCTTTGTGACAAACCTTTATTGACTACTCCCTCTGCTTGTTATTGCAGGGTATTGAAGATGCCACTATAATGAGAAAGGCATAGTCCCTATTCTTATGCTGTTTTATAGATTAATAGGAATATAGTCTTTAAACAACTAATTGATCAATTCTTTAGTGATAAAAGCAATGAAAGTATTCCAAGAGTGTGTACAGGTTCTTAGGGAGAGGAAAGAGGTAGTTTGAGGAAGGTAGACTCAAGGAAATTACACCACACCACCACACACACACACACACACACACACACACACAGGGTACAAAGAATAAGAGTTCCCAGTAAAGAAAAAGAAAGACTTGGTCAGGCAGAGGGAAGGTATGCATATGGGAAAACTGCATATGTGAAGAACTGATGTGGTAAGGAATTTGGTTCATTCCAGCCAACAAAAGGTGTGTTGGTGAACAGAAGGGGCAGTGGTACAAGAAAAAAATGACTAGATAGGAAAAGACCAGGTCATCTTGTAGGATTTTGAGCTTAAAACCAGTGTATATGTTCGTAGACTGTTATTCCAAGAACAAGTCTTGGTCTTTATTTCCCACATTTAGAATGCGGATTGTAGATGATGATGTGAGCTGGACTTCGATCTCTACCACTAAAACAGAAAAGGAGGAAGAGGAAGATGATGGAGATTTGCCTGTGGTACGTATCTTTTGTCCATGCAGACAATGAAATGCAAGCCTCTTAATCTTTACTCCTACGTGTGGGTAGGTTTGTAGTAGGGAAAGTGAGGGAAGAGGTGATTCTTCCCAAGAGCTGTTTTTAAAATAGCCTTGTTTGATGACACATGTCTACTGCTCTTCATTTTGTGGATGTCCCCATCAGCCTAAAAATGGGAACTAATCCAAGAGAGGTAGGACTCCTCAGCATCATTGATAGAGTCACGATTAAAATTAGCCATGGTTCAGTTTGTTGGAATCTACCTTAAAAAACAAGTTTAGGTTCAGTTATGTGGAAACTTTTCTTTTATTCATTGACTTTACTAAACTTAAAATTTTATACTCTTGTGTAGTTACTGGAGATAAATAGATTAATAGATCATAATGTCTATGCTTTTTATTTTAAAGATTTATTTATTTATGCATACGGGAACTGGGGTACAGGCCAGAGGTGTGTGTTTGGGGGTGAGAGGATTCACCAGAGACAGTGGGGAACAGAACAGGCAGATTGACTGAAATATACTGCGAGGGGGAGCAGTGGGTGAACCAGGAGAGGTCTGCTGCACCATGTGGGTAGCTCTCCTGGCTAGGGATTGAACTCGTGCTGCAGTGGCTTCAGAGAGCTTCATAAGTGGCATCTTAACCCCTGCCCCACCAGGGAGACCCTTAGAATGGGAGACTGAATTCAACAACATGATTAATGTTGGAGATATATTTCATGGTGTGTGATATTGTAGCCCTGGAGAGGTCGCATACTTCTTATTTATTGGAAAATTTCGTAAAGATTATAAATATCTGGATTGAGTTTTGGAGGATGAGTAAGAGCCAGGTGTACACAAAGCACAGGCAGGTAACCTGGT